ATGGGTCAACAGGGACAGGAAACATTCATATCCAGTGTCAAGGGTTGTTCCTGCAACAAAATCACTTATTGCGGAGAAACAGATTGGCCTTTCCAGTTAAACATTATATATTTAAATGTCAAACACAGACCATCATTCTGATGTGGACTCTTGAGTGCTGAGTAGTTCTGATTGTGTTCTTTTGCTCTTAAGTCCTTTGTTACAATCAACAGTTCCAGTCACTACTGACAACAAAGATAACCAACTCAATGTAATAGTAAGCACTTTCATTCAAAATCTGTGCTCCATTCTAGCAGAACACACCCTGAGTCCCAGATGTTACACTGTGGACACTACATATTTATACACATATTTTATATGTGTGTTTTGAACTACTTTTATCTTTTCATTTCTCCCTGTGTTCAGAGATTGTACAGAGATATTTCAAGTATTCTAAGATATTTTGGATTGAGCCCTTAGCTCTGTAGAAGAGGTGAGGTCACAACTGAAACATCCTGGAAGACAATTTTCTTTTAGTATAGCTGTGAACCCATGAAGTAGAGAAAAGAAACATGAGGTTAAGTGAGCACGGCTTATGCTAAATGACTTCCACTTCATCTAAAGGTGCATTTAGTACTGTTCACAGTCAATTTTCTAGAGTTACAACCTGCTCCACCAGACATCAATGCTAATATAAACCATGAATAATTAAATGAGGCTCCTGCCTCTTCTTACAAATGCCACAGAAGGTACAGTAGCTGTATTTAAAGGCAAAGCAAAAAATATATAACAACTGCAATGTTACTAGCCTGATTTTGTCAGATCTCAGAAGGGAAAACAAGGCCTGCCACTACCAGGGAATGGAGAGAGATCTACAAGGGTAACCAGGTTGCTGTATATTGGTGGACCAGTAGGCGGCACTCTTTCCTCTAGTCCCTAATTTCCAAACCCAGTTTGGTGATTGACAACAGTGTGCTGTGGGCAGAGCAGTTCTACAACTGAGATGGAAGAGTAGGAGTGTTCAGATGATATACTGGCTAGATTTCCACTCCAGGTTTGTGCAATTGACTAATGTCAAGATTTATTTCTTGTTAAAGTTTAATTTAGAATGCATTATTTCTTTCATTGCCTTTTTCACAGTTCCCATTGTCACTATATTTTTTGCTGGGGGATGTGCAACTGATGCACTGTCTGCTTGCTATGTCATGCAAACCAATATCCTTCTCATTTGGTTGCAATTTGAAAGTCAATTTCTGATGAGAAAGCGTCACTCGCATGTTTATCCAATGATCCGCATTTGTAGTGTGTGTTGATGTCTGCTTTCATTTTTTGTTTACTTTCTTTATTTCAGTGTTATGCCTTATGAGCTGAGCAGTGTCTTAATTTGCTGTTACACTCTATTGGACAAAGAATTGGGATTATAAAGATATTTGTTATTTAGAATTTGTAATGCTATTTCTATGTGTAGCACAGGTCTAATTAAGATTTGCTAATGAAATAAGATCAATTCTATAAAATACAATCTCATTTGTTGGTACTATGTTTTCAAAGAGAGACACAAAAGGTCTTTAGAAAGCCTTCAGAACAAAATCACTTTCTGTTATATAGCAAAGGTTGGATATAACAGAACACCATTGGCCCAAAAAAAATCACCGCAAAAACTTTAAACCCATTAAAATAATATTTGCCAGCACCACATTTTGCTCAAAACAATAACAACACTACCACAATACAGAGTAGCTGGCAGTTGCCTCTAGTACAGTGTTGCATTTTCAGAAAACCACTTCTTCCTATTAAAAGCAGAAAATCCAGAGCCTGTTCCATAACAAGGCTCTACAAGGCTGAACCACACTGGATGAGACACAAGAAAGTCACGAGGCAAACACACAGGGACAGTTTAGAGACACCAAGAAGCCAGGATTTCTCTGGAAGTGAGAGCATGCAGGCTCCATACAGAATGCTCCCTAGACCCAAACCAGACCCAGGACCTTAAAATTGTGAGGCAGTACCACTAAAGCACTGCGTCACGTTGTCACCCAAATATATCAAATTAAGCTTAATGATTTGGATAAACAGAGTAACACTCACCTTTCATTCGCCGTTTAAGCTGTTTTGTTGAGTTTTTTAGAAATCTGCACATCCATTTTTCTTAAATGTGTCCAACTTTAAAACACAGCAACACAAAAGGGCAAGCATTTAGTCATTACATTTATAACATGTTTTTATTTATAGCTTTAATTTATAGTTTTTACTCACTGACTTTTATGGAAATCGACTTGTAGACAAGCTTTATATAGAGACTCTGATGATAAAACTGCCCTATAACGGGTGTATTTTTATAGAAACTGTAAAGAGGAGGCTACACCCATCCAGGTATTATTAAAAGGGCAATGCCTTGAGGCTAACTTTAAAAGAATACGGAAAAATAAGTCACCCTGTTGCACTTATAGCTAAGCTGGTGTACAGTATGTACAGAGTCCCTTAGGTAATGTTGTGGTACTAATGTTATACATAGGCTTGTGAAGTGCTAAGAAGTTCCTCTCTGGCTTTCTCATATCTCACCACATAAAAATGTAAGGATGCAAACAAGATGGGCCTGTTCGGCAGGCAGCCGTTAATTGGAGCACCAGATGGTGACAGCAGAAAAAGAGAAGGGCTGAAGGCAATTGAAGAGACGGATACATCCAAAGGTTACTGTAGTGTTTTCTTCTTGATACAGGGCAGGGCATTGTGTAAATCTGGAGCCACATAAATAGAAAGTGTCTGCAGCTGATCAATTTCAGTTTCTCTTGCTTTCAAAGATGTGGGTGGTGAGATATAGTTTTTGCACAGATTCCCTTCACTTTTACTCATGCCCTTGTGTTAGCTGAGGATAGGAACCATCCTTTGCTTTTGAAAAGAAATATGTATTGCTGCTCATCCAATCACTGGAGAAGGCTTAGCTGCCTGTTTGGTGAAATTAGCAGAAATCAAATGATGTAAAAGTACAAAAAAGGTAAATAAGTGGAGACCTCTTGTTTAGTCTTTCTAAGATGGATAGTAGGAACTAATTTACAGTATATTAAAATTTCATCTCACAGATTATTGAAAGATTAATAGGAATCAAAATGTATAAAGAAGCACTGCTTGCTGTCATCCCAAATGCACAATTTGTGTCACCAGGTCCTTGTTTTGTTGTTGATTCAGAAGTTTTTCTTTTTGTTTGCTGTATCACTGCTTTTCAGTGAATCTTCCATACTTGTATGAGGTCGTCGTCTGTTGTTTTAGACTGAAGCGATTGATTTTTTTTTTCTAACCTGGTGTGTAACCTGTTCATAAAGAATATCTTTATGAACAAGAAAGCCAGTTCTAGCTCCTGTTTTTCGACTTTTCCACAGCAACATGTTTACATGTATTTTGATCAAAATGTTTTAAACTTTCTGAGTCGATTAAATAGTCGTCTATTTTAATTGTAATTAATTTAACTGAGAAATGAGGAAGCTTATCGAAGCTTTCTATGATTTTAAGCACTGGATGGACAAGCAGACCTTGAAACTGACAGAAATCTCATTAGGCTTATAGGCCCCCAGTTGTAGTTGGCAAAGCCATCTAAACAACATCTGTTTGTATCAGCTTATTTTCTTCCCTCAGCTTCAAATTTGTAAAATTAGTTACACATACTGTACAATATGCAAATTCTAGAAAGACAGAAAATGAGAGGAGGCTAGAAACTGCAGGTGTTTCAAACTACAGTTCTATACTCCTGCTTTAGAACTGTATATCTCTGTATGGAGTTTGAAAAAACGTATTTCAGTTGACCCTGTAACACCCTTTCAGTGGCCTGAGATTCAAGCATTTCTAGGGATGGTCCAACATGGAAGCCCATTTGGTCCATCTAGCTTGTTTGGTTTTTGGTATCAAAGTGATTCAAGGATCTCCTCCAGCCATTTCTTGAATTCCAGGTAGTCTGCATCAACAATGTGGTTGGTTCCAGACACCCATAACTTTCTGTGTATAGAAGTATAGAAGTGTTTTCAGTCCTAAATGCTCATAGTTACAGCTCAGGTCGCATCCTTTAGTGCAAAAATCTCTAGTCTACATCCGACTTGTTTCAGTACTGGTTTATGACTGGGACTCCCCAAAAGGATCCAGCTGAGTGGAGCTAAAAGTCTGTTGTGTTGAAAGTCAGCCATGCCTTCCTCAGATTGCCACACATCTACTACAACTGTGACTTGGCAAGTATAACCCAAGAAGTAGATGGTGACAACCATCAAAATATGCTCCTCTGCTGTGCAGATATGAGTGCAGCAGTAGTGAACCAAGTTAACGAATGATCATCCATCCATCCATTTTCTAGCTGCTTCTTCCAATTCAGGGTCACAGGGGAGCTGGAGCCTATCCTGGCAGGCAACAAGCACATGGCAAGTTACACCCTGGTTCAAACACTAGTCCATTGCAGGACACAGACAGGCACAGACATGCACACATTCTCAGGCAGTTTTGCCAGAAGCCAATTAACCTAACAGCATGTCTGGATTGTGCGAGAAAACCAGAGTACCCAGAGGAAACCTACACGAACACAGGGATAACATACAGACTCTAAGCAGATAGCACCCCAGGTCTGGAATTGAACCCAGAGCCCCAGAGCTGTAAGACAGCAATGCTAGCCACTGTGCCACCCAGCAATGAATATTCAGTCATTTCAAAGCAGGGAGGCGCATGGGGGAAAGTAGATGGTGATTCTATAATATAAAAGATAAAAAAGTTTCCTTCAGCATAAGTTTTAGTTAAAAGTCATAAAAGGACTTAATGTTCAGTAAAACTCAGAAGAACTGGCAGTGCATACAGTATGTGAGAATACATGGAGTTTGTTGCTGCCAACATTGTGTTTCTACAAAAAGTGGACTACTTATAAAACCATAGAGATTAAACATGGTGTGATTTTAGTTGTCACAACTTTTTCTCTCAAAGAACATAGGCCTCCTTGGCAGTTGCATCAATACACTCAATAGTTAGAGGGGGTTTCCTCTGTCTCTTTTCAGGAAGACCAGAGAGAAGGTGCTGCAGTTGGCTCTGCTCTCTACTAGAAAGAAATACCGGGGATGTGGAGTGGGCCGGTACCTCCTTGAGGTTAGTTATTTTAATAATTAGAAATGAGCAAAGTGCCAAGTCATTTAATGAGTATTGATCCACTCTGATTCTTCAAAAATCAGCTTGATAAGACTCTTGTGTGAATGACATTGCAGCAACTGCAATTCCAAGGTGAGCTTAATGGTTTACTCTTGAGCGAGCATTTCACATTCTTATAAGTATGCGAAACTATTAAACATTAAGTGTTGTACTGGACATGTTACCACCATGTAATGGAGACCGATGTCTTCACATCTCAGAAGCTAAGTAAGGCTAAGCTTGGTCCATACTAAGATGGGTGTCATCTAAGGAAAAAATAGTGGAATGGTAGTTGACTCTTTTGTCTAGCACCAGTATGGTGGCCATTATACAGCAGGTAATGTCGTCCTTCGAATGAGAATGACAACAATTTGACAATTTGTTGTCATATTAGATGATGGTCTTTCCAAGAGTAGGGGTAATAAACCCAACTTCCTGGCTAAATTCCACACTGGGTTTGCCTAAGCCTGGCCTGAAGCCCCTCCTCAATTCAATGGATAATGTCATTCTCACTTCTTCACCTGATCTGGCATGTTGTGGGGCTGATGGTGCAGAATGCTTGCCATATGTCACCTGGTGAAGGGCAGTGAATGAAGTGCACCCCTCTCCTATATGTAAAGGACTTTGGGATCCTTCAAGTTGAAAAGGGACATATACAGTACATCAATGTACACCAGTACTGTAAGTACAGGATCACTGGATGATGATTGCTATTAATACTTTCATACCAATTGGCAGAATTCTAGGAATCCTTTCTGGAACATCAGAGTCCCTGATAATGGCTCCCAGAGTTGCTTATGAAAACACTTACAGTAAGTAGTTACTGTAAATCCAACCATTTAAATTAAAGAAAATCTTTCAAGGTTGGTAGGAAAGAAGTTAATTAAAAGGAAGATTATCTGATGTGTTTCCAAATCCGTTATCCCAATGATAACAGATGTGTCGCAGGAGTTCGAAAATGTATTCATCGACTAATTTTGCAATTAGCACATCATAGCTGTCACAAATTCATCCATATGTGGGTGGATTAGAAAACTGGAAATGTGGGGCTCTTGAATATTCATAGAAGAAAAGGTACTAGAGAAAATGTCAAAAGGCTTAATTAGCGGAAATCCCTCAATTTGAGACAAAGGTGATTTAAGAAATATTAGCTGGGCAGAGCTTTAAGGGACCGGTCATGTATACAGGGTATATATACTGTACTGTACAGTATTATTCAGCACATTGTGATTGAACAAGTTATTCCAATCCAATCGAGTATGAAAAGGAACACAATTTAAAAAATGAATGAATGAGTTACTGCCCATTCTTTCCATTTGTGGAATGTGTGGGATACCCTAGTGCCACTGATAGAATGAGGACAAAGAGGCTCTTATAAATTGTGAACTGATGTTCACGTTTCCAGATGAAGGATGCAGCATTACATTTAAGAAATAAAAAATAGGAGTAGCAATTCTACAAAAAAATAATTTTAACTCTATACAGTAGGTGGTTATAGCATTATGTTCATTAAGTTGACTACAGATTAAGATACAGGAAGAATTCTGGGGTCTTGTTCAGAAGTAATTAGTTGGAAACAGAGTGCCATCTACTGGTCAGAAGACAAGATTCACGCAGGTATAGCAGGACACCCTGTGCATGTTTTTTCAGTTAGTAAAGATTTACTGAACAATCACATATCGGTTAGTACATCATTGGTTAGTCCATATTATATAAGAAACATACATGAGAATTGAAGATGGTGATGTTAAAACCCAATGAAAGGTGTAATTACACAAAAACATGAACATGCTTGAATGTTGAACATGCTGTATCCTAGGAAATCTCACTGTGATTTAATTCCAGTTGCTGAAAGACCAGTCCATCTCTGGTTCCTATGATGCTCTCCTTGTCCATGCTGACAGCGAAGCTGTTCAATTTTTCTCCCACTGTGGGTTTACCAATGACATCCTCCTCAACAGCAAGTTTAGGTACAGTACAGTATGTCAGATCTTAAATTCATCCCCAGGACAAAGCACCAGAGGTATTTGCCAGTCAGAGCTGTTGTATACTGCTATATTTGCAGGTAATATGTTAATGTAAAAGGACACTGAAAACATTAATAATAAAGGTCCTATGCTGTAGCAGGCTGGCAATGAAATAATAATAATAATAATAATAATAATAATAATAATAATAATAATTAAAAGTTTTAATTTTCTGTCATACTCTATCTCTTCATGCATGAATCACAATATCTACTTTTTAATTTAATTCGCCTATGATATGCCTATGTTTTTCTGTCTGTTGTCTAAAGTTAGTCTAAAGACACTAGTTGAGAAGGCAGTGCATTCTTAGTCAGGAATTGCTGTTTGTTCCTCCAGAGAACTGGAGGATGACTGGACCAACACCACAATGATGAGCTACCTTCCACCTTTCTCCACTGGTGAGTTCGCTTAGCTGCTTTCGAATAAACAGCACTATTATATAAAACAGTTGTTTTTGCTGGTGTCTGTGCTATAAGGCTTTTAACTGTTCATACAGCAGCGTTGCAAAAAAAATATTTTTTGTGAAAAGCTCTGCCATCTTGCTCTCTCTCTCTCTCTCTGCCGGTCTTCACCCCAACCACCTCCCTCCAGAAGCTGAAAGCCAGAACCCTGGACTGACATTAAGCCTGGTAGAGATGGAACTGGAGATGGAGCTTTGGTGAGAAAACTAATTGATTTCATTCCTTAATTTGCGGGCTTGTGTTTTACATTGTTACAGTTGGAACGTTGCACTCAAGGAAATATAGTCTGTAACACAGCATTCCAGTTAGGGCCTTTTTAAACTGTCCAGTTTGATGGTGTCCAGGGGTTTTTACTGTTTCTATTTGTGTTCAGCTCGAAGTTAAAAGTTTGTTTCTTAGAAAAAAATTAAACAGAGTGGAATATTTTCACTATATACAGTATATACAGTATACAGATGACCAATGTTATTTCTTGAGCATTAGTAACAGCCCATCACAGTAATAATGTCCTAACAGAAACCAAAACTAAGAAGGTTTAGACAAACTCACCATTGTTTGCACCTTACAGCAGTCTTAAGTTTTATTGAAGGAGGCTGGAATTCCATGAGTCACAGGTGCTACAGAAAAACTAAATGCAGACGTGTGCAGACTGCCCAGGGACAGTCAGACATTCAGACACAGCAGGCTTTCATGTGGGAGGAAGGGAGATTTCTCACATGTTTCCTTACAAAACACCTGGGCAAAAAACTTGCTCCTATCCCCTTTACCTTGTGTCCTATTGTTTATTTAATCCTGTATACACTCTTGTGAAAAACTTTAAAAGTGTGATGGGATATAATAAGGGTATCAACAAGTTAATAATTGCAGTTTTCACATTAGTTTGCTTTGATTTAACCCTGTATTTGCCACTGCTGTGCCAGGAGAGAGAAGTCTTTGGCAGCTTACCAGGAGCAGGCAGCCCTTATGAACAGGCTCGTCCACGAAGTTAATCTTTTAAGGACACAGGTGCAGTACTCTGGTGATTTTGTGTTCAGAGCTTACAGTAAACACAGAGCCCAAGACAGCTGTTTATAACATGGTCTTCTCTGCCTGCTTGCAACACTCCCAGCTGGTCTCGCAGAAGGAGCTGGTGGACAGCCTGAGCAGGGAGCTGGACAGAGAGAGAGAGCACCGGCATACAATCGGTGAGTCACAGCCATTGTCTCAGGGCTGCCTCACCAAAAGGAAGGCTTCTTAGGTAGAAAAATATTTTAATAGGACCCCCTACTTGACCTCTTAACAGGTTTGTGAACTTATTAGAAAATCTTATCTAATCATCATGGACCGTGTTCAGTTCCCCTCACTGTATGTGTGCTACTACTAGACTTTTAGAAAAGAGATAACTTCCACAATGTCCACTGCATTCATTAATGCCCTCGGTGGTAATCTTGTTAATGCTCAGAATTTACGTCTTTCTCTAACTAGGTGACAGGCACAAATAGTCAGTTCTCTCCTTCTCTAGGAGTCCGTACAGATATCAGTGTTTCAGGATAACCTGTACCCTGTCCCATTGAAAGCCTGCAAATGGTGATTATGATGAGAATCACAAAAAAATAAAATGTCACTCTCATTTCGCATGTTACTCATCATTTTATAATACCACCTACTAAAACTGAATTGAAAAACTGAGATTCAATTTTAGTTGGCAGCCAGTCAATTCTGATTTTATACTCATTTAAAAGGGAATTAGCAGTTGTTTTAGGATCTTGCTATACAGAAAACAATCCCGTACAGCACATGGAGAATGAGAAGCAACAGACACCTTCCTCTGACACCCCCTAACTATCAAACCCATCATGCTGCAAGCTCCACAGCACCTTACAGGAATGTTTCTCACTGATGTCACTGTAGGGTTGCAGGAGCCTAACAGGTTCCACTTGGAGAATCCAAGTAATGAATTGGCCCAGGCTCAGGCCGATAGTGTCTTGACCAAAGGATTCAACCTGCTCTCTGCACAAGTAGCCTTACTGATTGAGACACTCCACAGTTCTCTAATCTTCTACCTTAAAATACTCTACAGTATGTCACTGCTTAGCACTGTAATTGTAACAGTTGATTTTGTAAACTGACTTTGGCAGTTACTTATTGAGCACCACCATTCAACAGACATTTTCAACAATGAGAATATCATAGAAAATTGAAAATGGTCCTCAAGGATAGGAACATTGAAACGGTAATAATGTGCCGCCTGTTGTGCTCTTAGAGTCCTGCTTCCTGGAATACAGGCTGAAGACGACAAGACAGTTCCTAGAGATGACCAGCCTCAACTCAGGTGTGTCACCCCAATCTAAGGACATACAGTAAACAACATAGAATGAGAAGAGAACTTAAAATAAGTTTGGTATTTTAATGGACGATTGTTCAAAATGTATAGGGTCGTTACTCAACCCATTACTCATTACTCATTACTCATTACTCATTACTCATTACTCATTACTCATTACTCAAAGAGGCTGCAACATATCTTGCAGTAAGACAGTCTGATAGTTCTTATCCACCAAACATGGAGGATCATTCTGGAGTAAGAATGGACCACTCAATCCATCGGAACACCCTCAAGCATCCTCGCTGTATTCATAAAGCTTTCACATTGTGTTCTTTGCCATTGCCTTTCTGAAAAATCAGAACTCCTGAAGTTACAGAATTAAAAAGACCCCTTGGATTTAAATTTAATTTAATGTAGCCACTGTATATGGTACGTCACTAAGCTACTTTCATTTTCATAAAATGAAATATAAAAGGATCAAAATAAAGGGTGCTTTATGACAATATTCTCTAGACTCAGATGAGAAATGCCAGAGTGACCATCCTGACTATCCAGGAGTGTGTTCCTCGATGGAGGAGGAATTTGAGGACATGAAAACAGTTACGGAACCAAGAGATTGCTCAGGTATGATGTCTGGGTAAAGATGACTATTGCAGTTGTACCTCAAGTTGCCAGGTTTCAAAGTTATTTATATAGATTTCTCACTTCCTCAAGGCCTGCAGTGTCTTTTGTTTTCTGTTTCTGCTTTATCGATTAACGTGAGTATCTAAGAAAGAGAAAAGACTAAAGCAGGCCGTTGAGCCCAACTTACTCATTTAATTGCCAGTTATTATCAATATTGAAGGCTTTGGCATCTTCTAAAAGAAACCTGTTGGCTTTAGAAAGAGTGAGGGCTTGTTCTATACTCACACAATAAGCAATGCTGCACTACTACTTCTGTTTCGGTGGAGCTTTAAGATGCCTGTGAAGGAGTGGAAGGCGATGGGTCAGGAGATCACTGATTGAGGGAAGCCAGGAAGAAATTATTATCATAAAACAACAGTGAAAGTAGAGGCACTCATCTAGTAAGCTGCTGCTGTCAGTTCCGGCTTTTAGAAAAGGTCACGTAATAACTGTCTGTGTTGGCAGAGCTTCTGCCCTGCTGAGCACTAATGCAGGCAGGCAATAAAAGGCTTCTTTCAGTTTCTACGAATTAAGGATATTTCTTTTTTTATCATTTCAGTTCATGTTAAAGTTCATTTGCATAAGTCTGGTGATGAATTTCCTCTATTCCTGCATAAAGCATATGGTGTACACAACATTCAGAGCAGGTGGCCTTATACATTTCTGTATTGAGGTGTTCTCATGTGATGTTTTCTGTATGTTGTACAGTATGTCACCAGCAACTAATTACCTCTTGCCTTAGAAATATGATAGTTAAATCACTGTCATTTCCTTGTCACGTCATCGTGACATAAATATGTGAGAGATCTGAAGTTGTGTTTTACACATGAGTTTGTTAGAGCTGAAAAGGGTGTTCAAAACATTTTGCAACTCAGGTATACAGAGACAAGATAATCTCTTGCCTTTACTGTTCAATACAATCACTCTCAGCTCAGTGCATTTAGCCCCCTTACCCTTCAAAACAGCATTAGATAATACTGCATAACTGTTCCGGTTGCTCCTCAATAACAATGACTTCAGAAGTCAGTGCAAATTATCACACATGGCCGAGCCTGGATGGAAGGTTGAGTATTGCAACTCTTCTGACCACATTGATGAATAGTGGCCTTCCTTTAGTGGTGTCTGAGGGTTGTCGAGACCTAGGGTCACCCTTAATTAATTAATTATTAGCTATATTTGTAACACTTTGAGTCTGTTTCACCTGACACAGTAATTAAGCCAGGTAATTAAGCCAGTAATTGGCATCAACAACAAGGCTAGCAACATGGGCGGCTTGTTCCAATCTCCCACAACTCTTTGGGTAAAGACATACTTCCTATTCTTTACAAGCACAAAAATGTAAAAATATTCCAAACTCATACACACAGCTGTAAATGGTACAAAATGATCATTATACAGACAGCAAATATCCACATTTTTTATTATTTTACTAAGCTTGCTTACTTATCACGTTTGCATTAATTTCATGCAAATTGCAAAATTAATGGGAGTCCCATGTCTCTGACTTCCTGTGCAGTGCCATTTTAGAGCCAGGCTGTGTCAGCAGCTGGGAAGTGGCCTCTGCCAGACCAGTGCCAGTGAGATTTGAGGAAGTGTGTGGGAGTGCACAGCAGGAGCCTTGATGAAGTTCCCTGAAGGAGGTTTGGAATCATTCTAAGCAGGAACAGAATGCATGTGAATATAGTGTAATCCTGGAGGTCTCTCACAACCTTCTCTTCCTTGCATCAACTGCTGGTTGTTATCTTGCATCCATTTGTTTTGTCTCTTTTACTGTATATATTTTTTCTTTTTTTATTTCAATACACACAATGCTATGAAATTTATTATGCTATGAGCGTGTTTATACTGTATGCGTAAGATCGGAGTTTATGTCAACTGTTTCTGCTTGTTTATTTTTTAATGTATTTCCTTAAAAATAAATTTATTTAATAATGATTTAGCCTGATTATTCTGTCTCCCATTATCTGATTCAACACAATTAATAAGCAAGAATAGCCACAAACTATAAATGAACTTTTGTTGTTATTAAAAGTTTTTATAGCATCACTAAGTCCAGCTAAGGAGCCAGGTGATGATGATAACCAGATGATAATTGACAGTATAATGTTTTATTATTGCCTTTTATTTTATTGTACTTTAAATTAATTTTACATTGTGTCAGTTTCCCCTATAGTTGACTTGGGTTTTTGTAATGTCATTTTGTTCTTTTGACATAGAAGCAATGCAAAGCTTTTGGAATCTTGCAACAGTCTTAACAAATAACCTGATCATATTGATGTATGAATGTCATTTTGCAATATTTTTATAACATTCCATGAATTTAAAAAAAAATGTCACGCTTTTATCACAACAGAAGTGCAACAGTGTTGCAATCTTCAGAAAGCAAGATTGTAATTTATAATCCTAGAAAGATATAATATTAGCCAATATTTCAAATGTGATAAATCCACAGATGTATCTGCCACTGTATGCTTTAACTTGGTTTTATATAGTGTTTCTATGATAATAAGATCATGAGGCTATGTGATGAGAGATGCACACAACATTTATAAAATAACCATTTTGTAAAAGAAATGTTTAAACCATCATGGTAGCATCACTGTAGAGGTGGAGGTACTGACAAAATATTATAGTGATATAGTTACGTTTCTTTTTTCATAATATCTATTTCATGTAAGACAGCATTGAAAAGCACAGTAAAATGAGCACAGCTTGATTTACATGACCAACATGACATTTACATTTTCTCACATGGTTTATTATGGACACATTTAAACATTCAACAACCTCCTGCCTCAAGGTCATTATTGTCCTTGAAGGGAACTTTTAGAAGAAAAGCTCATAGGCCATCATGTAGGCATCGTTGAAAAGGTAGAGGCGCTGGTCTCTGGGGTTGTAGTGCAGATTTTGGATGCGACCAGAGATCTTCTCAAATGGCAGGCTCAAGACATTGGTTTCATGGCCTGTTTTTGTGTCGAATGCATAGAAAACCTCCTCTCGGTAGGTGTTGACATAGCGGGTGGCGTAGAGCACTCCACACACCATGAAGGTGTTGGTCACCGACTTCTTGAACAGCCTGGTCCTCCAGGTCTGGATCACAGCCAGGCTGGAGGTGTTGAGTTTGCTCACCACCATGTTTCCATAGTTCTCCTCTGTGGCATAGATTACCCACAATCCTTTTTCATCAGCTGCGAAGTCTATATCTGTGGAATCATAGCAGCTGTAGTAGCAGTAGGGGAACTTGTCGTTAAAGCCAGCTCCAGGCAAGGTAGCATGAAGGATGGTCTTGGACTTCAGGTCATATTTGCAGAGATTGGCCGTCCTGTAGCAGTTGTAATAGAAAGCCTCATCATACAAGACAGAACCAGGACCTTGGATGGCGTTGGTCGAGGAGTGGGAAGAGGTCACAGTGAAGTCATTTTGGTTCTTTGAAAACATGAAATCTGTGTAGGAGGCATAAGTACGCAGGACATTCCCATATTTGTTGCTATTCACCAGTGGCTGAACCCAGTAAGTCGCTCTTTTCCCCTCCATAGTTTCTTTGCCCCAGGAGCCAAAGGGGTATGACTTGCCAAAAGGACTGAGCTGAGTGACCACAGGGGAGCTGATGTTGGACAGCAGGCGTCTGGAACATTGACCTATAGTGGCACAAAAAAGAGTGATTTGTTTACAAAGCAGTTTAGAGCAGTTTAACATGAGAGGAAACTATTTGGCCTATCTGGCTGATTCGTTTTTTTTGTAGTGGATCCCATTGGAACATAGGAACACGCACAGATTTTATTTTGTACTTTTTCTCCATTCATACTGAGCCCCACCATATTAAGACAAGCTTCTGAAATATAGAGAACTGATCTTCAACCGGACTTGAAGCCGAAAATTTAGTCAGCGTCTGATTCAAATGTTCGTACTGATCTGAGTGTGTGAAAAGACTTTTGGAAACGTCATGCTATTGTTTTAGGGTTGCTGAATTTTATCTTCCAGTTCAGGACTCTTTTAGTAGATCTATAAACTTTAGTTTTGTGTTTGGGGGTTACATTTATAAGCCTAAAAATCAAATCATTACATCAATAACCTACTTTCAGCTGAACAAACAAGATAACTGAATAGCCTCCTCTTGTTTGTACCGGAATCACTTCTTGTGAAAAATAGTTAAAATTTACTTAATCTTCAGTCAGTTACATTTATACAGTAAATAATCCCTTAATGTGTTTTAAATACTTGTTCCTTTGCATTTCTCTTCCATTATGGCCTGCCCACTCTCTCACCAAGGTGGTTGCTGTCCAGGGTCCTGCAGGACTCCAGGCGGTTTCTCAGGGTGCGGAGATTCTCCTTCAGCGCCAGCAGGTTAAACTTGTCAAATTTCTGCAGGCCCTGCACCTTCTCCCGGATGGAGCTCAGCTAGGAATAGTGAGGAGAGAATTAAAGTTCACCATAAACCCTCAAGGCCGGCAGGGTGGAGCAGCAGGTAAGCAGTTTGATTGCCTCTCAATGCTGGGGCCCTGGGTTCACCTGGGGTGGGATCTGCATGGAGTTGTACAGTATGTTCAGGTGCTCTAGTGTCCTCCCACAGTCCAAAGACATAGTGGTAGGATGACTGGCACCTGGGAAAATTGGCCCTGGTGTAAGTGGGTGAGTGTCTGTGTGTGTGCTCTGAGATGGACTGGTGGCCCATCCAGTTTGTATCCTGCCTTGCTCCCGTTGCTTGCTGGGATTGATTAACCCACCTCGTTAGTCAGTTCCCGGCTCTTGGAGGGGTCCACCTCCTCGTTTTGGTGAGCGCCCTTGATCCGCATCTCCAGCTCCTGCAGCTCGTAGTCCAGCAGGCGGAAGTTGAGGGCGTTGTACAGGCCTTTCTTATTGAGGTGCTCAAAGCGGTGCAGACGCTCAACGATGTTCTCCAGTGTGCCTGATATTTCAGGAACTTTAAATTCAGTGAAGTTCACCTGCCAGCAAAAACTCAACAGTGAGGGTTCCCTCACAGCTGCCGTTTCATCTGTTGTGTTTCATGACTTATAAATAAATATATCTCTAAGCTAAAGTTTTGGTTTTGAAAGTTTTTTTTAATTGCACACCTTGCAGTCAGTGAGCTTTGGAACTGTTCATGGTTGTTTTGTTAGTTTTTGTACAAAAGAACATCCTGTTTTGTTTTTTTTTTATTGTGAAGTGGGATGTTAAATAGTAAGCCAGGCAAAATAAGTAACATAAAGCCTTCAGATCAAAATGCCGGTGTTTGATCACACTATTTGTAGTTGGATCTCCAGGGAGTGAGAAGATTGCTGGATGGGTGGTAGATTAGTGGAAATACGCAAGCCTGCATATCTTAACAAGGTTTTCACTTACCCTGCCTCGTGTACAGGTTAACATAAATTGTAGAGATTTGGGTTCAGAATACTGGCTAGTATAGATGTGGCTTACAGATAATTCACAACCCATGAACTACCCCTTCCATAGTCCCACAGATCTTGGCTTCCTGTTGAAGAGACAGGGGAGACCATCTTTAGGATAAGGTGGACTCACTTGTGCCTGCAGCTCCCCCAAGGAGTCCTGGCACTTCTCTATCATCTTTTCCGTCTCTTCAAACCTCTGGACTGGGAAATCCCAGGCACTGAAGTCCAGACTGCACACGCAGGTGTGGCCATGCTGAGCCCCTTTCACACGCTGGGGGCTGGCCACCTGCACACAGATACACTCTTGAAAATAATTATTTAGCTCAGTGATGGTACATTTCACTAAAATGATCACGTTTTCTGAATAAACATGCTACACTAAATGACAGGATCTGCAATATAAAAATGAATATCCCCGTTGCCTTCATTTCTGATTTTCTTTGATCCCAATTTTGCTCCCTCTAAAAATAAATTAAAACTGCAATACATTAATTTCATTATAACTAGCCATTAAAGCCATTTGATGGGATCAGTGCTCTAGATTCCAGCTCACAACACTGCAGTGCTCCAAAACATTTGGTGACCTGGATGTTCAAGATTTAAATATTATCACTGGGCTTTTCATGAGGGTGTTTAAGACATTATTGGGTTCAAGGTGCATTTGCTTCATAAAGTGTCCCAAATTGAGGACACTTTAATTGATTTATAAAGTAGTTCCACTGCAAAGTTAATTACATGTGAAAAGTTTTAGATTCCATGTAGTTAGTAAGGAAAGAAGAGATACTGAGAGGTATTAAAAAAGTGTTGCTGGTACAATTACTGTGTTTGTAATGCCACTTATGATTGCAAACAAGTGCAATAAGATTGAATAGAATTATGCTACAAATTACATTTCAAATAGGGCAAGTGCTACTGCTTTAGGAAATTACTTTCTTATAATAAGTAATATTTAACCAAATATAGGTTTGTATTCTTTTAATATTTATTTTAATATTTATTTGAAATTTCAAATTACAATTAACTCAGATCTAATAGTCTGTAAGAACACACCATTTTGTAACAAAGAATTATAAGATGTCTCTATACTGCCTCTCAGGTGTCAGACTCCTTGTGGGGTCATTTTCTCTAAATTTGTCTACAGGTTGATAGAAATAGATGTCCAGAAACACAGAATGTGTCTAGCTCACTTTTCTCTCCCTCTTTTCATTGTCTTTCTGAAACCATTGTGTACTCTCTCTTCACAGTAATTTTCCATGCACAGAGAATGAAAAATCTGTACTTTCTACTTATTGTGCTCAGGTCTGTCGAAGCCTAGGGCAACAACATCAAAAAAGTTATATGACAAGTGCTAATTCCTAAATTCACAAGTGTGAAGTGAGAGCTGTTCTTTAAACACGGCATCCCTAAGTCTTGAATTGTTTTACAGCTGAGCCTTCTGAAGCAGAATAAAACAACATGAATATCTAAAATGTGCTGTGAAAATGGAAAAAATAACCAGGGAAAACAGCAATGCAAACTCTCACTATACAAAACACATACTGTATATATTTCAACAAAATGAATGTGAAGGCCCTCCAACCCTTTTTAAAGACCCTCATCTGCCTGTGGCAGTCTCTTACAACTGTGTGAGTTGGAATGACAATGGTAATATTTGTAGCTATGAAAGGTGCTGTCTTAAATATTGAAAACTGC